AAGAGATGATTTTGTTGATGGCCTCAGCTAAGAAGCTTCTAAAAATTTATTTAGTTAAGATGAATTAAACAGTCTGAGTTTTGTTGACTCAGTACATTCTTTTCGTACTGTCATATATATGAGTCAGATTCTGATTTTTGGAAGTTTCTTATTTTATAAAGAACTCAAGTTACTTCCTCTGAAAACTCTTAAAATGGGCCATTACCCAGTATGGGAAGGGTATTAGACTTTGGGCCTTTGTAAATAGCTAGGCTGGGATTTCTAGAGCCTAACAGAAAATGAAGAGATTTGACTAGAACTGCTCTTTCCTTCTGTGAATATTTAAAAATCAAGTTCTGGACAAGCACTGCTAATATAATTTTCATTTTGATGTGCTTCATTTAACATCCATTATATACTATTTTCCAGAGAGCAATTTATCTCTTTCTCCATTTGCAGTATACTTGAATGTCACTGACCTAACAAGTTACAAAGTGGGTTGGGATACTTTCTGTATCCGATGGTCAGCTCATCGGTCAGCAACTTCCTACAGACTGAAGCTAAACCCTGCTGATGGTAAATGCATTTTATTTGTTGCATTTTCTAATTTCTGTGTGTTTCTAATTTCTGCACTCATTTGCACAGATATTAAAAAGGAAATAGTGGGTTCTAACTTTCTTTCCACTGGGCTTTATTTTGACAGGTTCCAGAGGCCAGGAAATCACAGTACGTGGATCAGAAACGAGCCATTGTTTTACTGGCCTCTCACCAGACACAGAATACAATGCTACCATCTTTGTTCAGACCCCTAACCTTGAAGGACCTCCCGTCTCTATGAGAGAGCATACGGGTAGGTAATAGATACTGTGAACCTCAAGTTTTAGCTATAGAACTTGTCTTGTTTCAGCTGTAGAATTTGTCTTATTCCTAAATGGCTTTCAATATCTCTTTCAAAAGTTATCTTCTTTCCTCTTTCTCTCAGTGTAATGTCAATTGGATTTTATGAGGGAAAGAAAAATTCTTACGTTCTTTGCCAAATCAAGTGTTTCCTAGCACTTGGATGAAAAATTGGGATGCATTACCAGAGTGCAGTGTTACTCATATAAAAGCATTCCTGTTATAATGAAAGAATGTATCTTTGTTTTAACGGCAGCGATAATCTCATTACTGTTGTAAAACAAGAAATTTTTCCTTGTCAATTATACATTAAGTTAGTGAGAAAAGTTCTGAATCTTTCTGTGTGGTAATATAATACATAATCTAGTTTTTTTCCTTGAATTAAATAATTTATATGGAGTAAAAAAAATATTATTTTATTTTAGTCCTCAAACCTACAGAGGCACCAACTCCACCACCTACACCTCCTCCACCTCCCACAATTCCTCCAGCTCGAGATGGTATGTTTACTTGTAGATTTATTCAGTATTTTTACAAAGTTGTTGCACTTAATTCTATTTTTCATAAGTTTAAATACATTTAAAACTAGCACAACATTTTAGGGAAACGAAGTTTGAAAGCAGTTTCCTATTGCTATACATTTGCTGTTGAGCTTTACTGGAGTCCAAAATTTCCTGGTTTATGACAGCAAGGTGCCTGCATTTTGAGACAAAAATCATTATAATCTATAGCTCTGCAGCAAATCTGTGAGCCTGGCCCTCAGCAGACAACTTATGTTTTATGGTAGCTGCTAAGAAGAGAAATGTAATTTAAAATATTTGCATTTGATTCTTGAGGTCTTCCTCATTTCTTGCACTTCTATTTGAAAAATTTTAATAAATGGTTTTGTGTTGAGATTAAGTCACCTACCGTGTTGACTACGTGGCAATAGAAATTTGCTGAATATTTGTCATTCTTGAATTTTCAAATTTTGAAGCAATGGTCTTTATTTTACAGTGCTATGAATGATTTTTTAAAATGTTCCTTTTCTTGGTCTTTCAGTATGCAGAGGTGCCAAAGCAGACATAGTATTCTTGACTGATGCTTCCTGGAGTATTGGTGATGACAACTTCAACAAAGTAGTAAAATTTGTTTTTAATACAGTAGGAGCCTTTGACTTGATTAATCCTGCTGGAATCCAGGTAGGTTTGCTTTTTCATTAGGTACATTTTGGAGGGAAACTGAAAATGAAGCTGAGTTACTAAAGTTACATCTGACTTTTCCTTTCAGAATGCTTTCAGTTTTTTGCATTAGATTCTTGTACAATGCATGTGAACATGTGTGCGTGTATAGTTATATGTGAAATATATGGGGCGTTTTGTAAGTACAATGAGGTTACTATTCCAAAAGACAAAAGTTGTAGTGTGTGGGAATCCTCCAGGCAGAGAAAGTGAGGTGATGTATGGTTAATTTTTATATTTTTGTTTCTTTGTATAGGTCATCAACAACTGGTGCTCTGCCTAGTTGTTATGACACAGGCAGAACCTAGTGTACATCAGAAATCTGTTTTGGGGACAGTCTGATAGTTGAGTGAGGGATATGTTTTAATTTCCCAGTGCAAGAAGAGAGTCTTGTGCCTGTAAAGAGTTCAGCTGATTTGCTGTTAGCTTGCCTTGTCTGGTTGAGCTGCCTAGAATCCCACTGCTTCAGTAAGTAGGCAGAATCCCTCAAGAGAGGCACTTCCAGAGGTTTCTTCATCCCATCCTAAAGACAGATAACATGGATCCATTCCACAGTGGGCATAGTGAAAGCATGAAAAGGTGAAAAGTTAGTCCCCTCAATGAATTAATGCATCTTTAAAGAGCGAACAGTAACAGCTAATGAGGAGTAGACTTTCAGGATTTCTGGGCTGATCATGGTTATGTCAAAGACATTTCCAGTCAGGCTTCTTACTGTAAGCTTTGCACCATTACTGGGTTTCTTCTGCTTATGGGAAAGCTGGACGAGATCACTGCCTAGGTTCCCATAACCATTTCTCTTTCACTAGATAAAGTGAATGACATGAGACACGAGAGAATTTCTCACAAAGTATTTCTGGAGCATTGCAGTGACCTGCATGTGCAATGCATTTTCCTGCATTAGAAGGCTTGAAGGTGTTTGTTTTTTGTGGAAGAGTGATTTTCCCCAGGAACTATAAAAACTGTTTACATTGCTTGTGACATGCCTTTCATCTTCCAGGCATGTTTTTAGGTCTTTGATTCTCTTTCTTTAACTCTCCAGATATACTTTGAAGGAAAAGATGCCCCTCACACTTTGCTTTGTCTCAGATATTCTTTATCTTTCTTACCTCTAATCTATACCAGGTAGCTTTCCTTTCCATTTGTTTGATGGATTTTAAGTATTTTTTTCCTGTGAATTACTAGGGGTCCTCAGTCTAGATATAGAGAAGGCTTGGTGTAAGTGACAGACATGCAACTGCTAATGTTTCCTCAAATATTTAAGTCACGTAACTCTTGAGAGAGTAGCAAAAATCTCAGGTTTCAATCAGATATTAATAATTTAATATCAAGAGAGATGCTTATTCAGCATCAAATTAGTATACTGTAATATTGCAATTTTACAGGATATGTAAAAGGAGCAACATTAAATATGTATGTAATATTTAAATTTAAAGATTATTTCAGAATAAACATTCAATGATTATATTCCAGTATTTAAGGCAGGAGAATACACAATTCTGTGTATATCCAACTTTTTGGCATTCTGTTGCCAAGTTCTCTTTGTATTTCCTAAAAAAATCTGGAAGAGGTTTTTTAGATACTGTACATCTGCTCAAAAGCAGAGAATAGGCACTATATATACTGCGTCATAGTAATAGCAGTACTCAAATCATATGTGTTTGAGATCACATCACATTTCATACACTAAGGAGAAAGAAAGGAAAATGTGTTGTGTGCACATTGCTGCGATGATATCTGTGTATGTAAAAATATATGTGTGTTATTAAAGTTATTTAATGCTTACTAATATACCAAAATACATATTTCAATGGAGAGAGTTGGTCTGAATGTGGAGGTATGAGACTGAACACTGTGATGTATTCCATTTCAGGTTTCATTTGTGCAGTACAGTGATGAGGCAAAATCTGAATTTAAACTCAATACGTTTGATGACAAGGCCCAGGCCCTGGGAGCGCTTCAAAATATTCAGTACAGAGGAGGAAACACAAGGACGGGTAATTCTGAGCAGCAATTATGTTTCTTTAAGATAAAATGTTTGAGAGACTACCTCATTGTCCTAATATAGCATGGCTGAAGAATTAGGTTTTTATGTTCCTCTGTTTCAGTTGTGTAGCTGTTGCTCTTTCAAAGTAAAGAGATTTCTTCTTTTGTGGATAATACAGCTGACTCCTTCTTCACTATGCGTTTTGCAGGCAAAGCCTTAACATTTATCAAAGAAAAGGTTTTGACTTGGGAGAGCGGCATGAGGCGAGGCGTTCCCAAGGTACTTGTTGTTGTCACAGATGGTCGGTCTCAGGATGAGGTGAGGAAAGCAGCGACTGTCATACAGCACTCCGGTAAGCGATTCACGGTACCTAGCTGTTTCGTTTCCTTATGTGTTCAGCGACGCAGTTGTAAGTGGTGCTTCAATTATCTGGGAATCCTTTGCTTACCATTTAGTGACTCAGAAATGTATTCTGAGTGTTTGGAAAGATCTCAAAACTATTTAAAGAATTTAGATGCTCTAGGCCAGAGGTTTTCTTTCTTTAGCCTTCTTTCTGGGGAAGGATGTGGCTTCCCAAGGCTTTCAAGTAATTCCACATGCATATCATTTCATAGACGTGACTGTTGGTTATTTCTTTCTCCTCCTTGCTATGTGGACCCCAGGGATCATTATGAAGTGTACTCCATTCTGGTGCTTTTGATATAATGGGCCTGGATTTGTAAGCTTTATGTTTTACCCAGTATAAACTAGTAGATCTCCATTTAAAGTAATTGCTCTTGCTGGAGCTGGGTCTGAACATTGCCTTTTGAGCTTTGAAGCTTGACCTCCCTGTTCAGATTTGTAAATGTGACTTATGTGAGACTAATCGTCTGCACCCAGCAGTTTTGCATTTTAGTGCATGAACCACCTAGAGTCCTGCTCTCTGAGTAAGGAGATGTTGTACTTCCTTACGGAAATCACTGGCATGTAAACCACAAGGGACCATCTTTGCTCTATGATCTGAAGGAATCAGCTCTCTAAATGGCTTCTAAAGGTGTTTGGCTAACCTATTCATAAAAATCTCTACAGTCTCCCTATTGGATAATGTGCTATAGTACTTAACTATCCTAACAGTTGGCAATCTTTTCCTCATATCTTACCTAAGTGTTTCTTCAGGCTAATGAAGCTAGTGTCTTCTTTTCATTTACATAGTTAACCAGGAAAACAATTGATCACTGACCCCTGTAACAAGCCTTCGTATCTGAAGCCTGTTTTAATTTCCTCTTTGTCTTCCCTTTTCTAGACTAAACAAACCCATTTCCTTCAACCTCCTGTTGATCATGCTTTCCAAACCTCATATCATTATCACTATCCTCCCTCTCTACTTGTTTCAGTTTCTTTGCATCTTAACTGTCGTGCTCAAAGCTGGACAGAGTATTTCAGCCAAAGCTTCACCAGAACTGGTTGCAGAGGAATAATTATTTCCGATCTCTTTTGGAAAAATTCAAAAATGTAAATAATAGCATTTGCAACAGATGCATTTGCAACAGATGCGAGTTATGCCTTCAGCCTCTAACCAGCATTTCCAACGTCTGTGCAATTTCTTGTCAATGAAATTTTGAGGGAGAATTTTTTCTATTTAGTACTGAATTGTGCAGTGACTTTTCTTTTTTTCTTCCTTGTTTTCTGGGAAAAAAAAGAGGCAAAGAAAAAAAAAGAGTGGCAAAAAGAGGGCTCATTATCGCATGGAAGGTTAGGTGGGAGAATGGAAAGGAAGCAATGAGTCAGATACAGAATTCTGTGAAGGCTAAAAGGTAGAAGGAAACAAAAACTTGACACAGAAAGCAAGGAGATGCTAATTTAAGCATTTGAAGAGGAAAATCACTCTAACAAAGGAGTAGATTATGCTTTTACACCCGGTGATATGATTAAATTCTATAGTCTGTGTTCTTCTCATTTGAATTATGCCACTTAACAACTAAACGTCGAGTCTAAGGTCATCATGTAGGATCCTTTTATGGCTAGTGAAGAGTGCAACAGATAGGCATCTATAGACCCACGGCTGCTTCTATCTTGAAATTAGCATCTTAGGGAGGTGAGATGGATTGCATTCTCTATCTGCCCATGTCTATTGATTATAGAGGTAGTCTAGACAACTAGCTTAGACTTGTTGTTAACCTGGAAAGTAAAAATTGGTGGGATGAATACCACCTTACGAAAATGGAAAGGAAACTGAGAAGCATGGAATACAGGAGATGGTAACAGATAGAGAACTTGATGACTAATAGTGTGCACAGAGATTTTGGACACAGAATAGAGTTAAGATATTGTAAAGCTGAGAGGATTGTACATTTTGTATAAAAGAGTGAGATGACTATGTAGCCAAGGCTCCACGAGACTGGATAATGCCCAACAAAACTCAATGAAGGAAGGAGGAAAAAAACTTTGAAAGAAAGATGCAGAAATCAGTTTAATCGTTCCTGAGCTTTGATAGGGTGAAAGGATGTCCAGAATGCATGCTCATAATGAAGGCCAGATCGAAGACTAGGTAGAGCCTGAGAAATCAATGATAGAGATGGTTTCTGAAGTATTGACCTGAAATATGGTAATGTATGTTTACTACATTTCAAGTAACAAATATTATTTTTACAGGCTTCAGTGTCTTTGTGGTTGGTGTGGCTGATGTAGATTACAATGAGCTGGCCAAGATTGCCAGCAAGCCCAGTGAGCGTCATGTATTTATTGTTGATGACTTTGATGCCTTTGAAAAGATTCAAGATAACCTCGTCACTTTTGTGTGTGAGACAGCTACCTCAAGTGAGTAGATGACATAATAATTTTCCCTTTTCTTAAATGAATACATTTGCTTATGTACTGTGACAGTTGCCATTCCATTTAAGGTAAGTCAAAAGAAATGTTCATATACAAAAGTTAGTTTTCGTGATAACTGGACATTGTTTAAGGGAGTAAGTTACTTTTTTAAAGTTTTGAAGTAGACATTATATTTTATGTAATCTTGTCTCACATTTCAAAAGTACTGATGTAACAAAAAGAGAGTAGCTGTTAGTGAGAATTACTGCTCTTTAAGAGAAAGTAGAATGATGCCTAACGTGAAATAGAGTACACAAGAGGTCTCTTATTTACCACTGGTCTAAGGATGCTAAAGAAGTGCGGCTATAGTATGTGATGCTGTTTTAAAATTATCTAAATACAGTCCAGCTGTTTACTCAAGTGAAATCCTTCTATGGCAAAAATGAGAAATTCTCAGGCCTGTCATGTGCAACTGTGTACTCCTTAACTGCCTCATTCGCTGGATCCTGAGGAGCCATATAAATCTGCAGTTTTTCCTTGTGAATCTGACAGCTATTATACAGCCTGATTCGTGCCTTAAATATTTGTGGAAAGACTATGTCACTGTACTCCTTTCTTCTTCTGAATTAGACTCTAAAAATATTTGGGGGGTTCATTTGTTATTCCATACAATTTGTCACGGTAGAAATATCCTACTGAATGTAATGACAAAAGATTTTAGCAGTACATTTACCACAGAACAGAACACAGTATGACAAATGTAACAAAAGTTGATTCTTAATAATAGCACAGACTTTTTTGTTAATAAAACTTTCCGAAGTATATACATGTCCTTATCCTGTTGCGTATTATGGTGAATTATATGATGTTTTATATCTTTTAGCTTGTCCTCTTATTTACTTGGAGGGCTACACTTCACCTGGTAAGTAACTGTCTAATATTTTGGCATAGGTTCATTTTATCTTTTACTACAGAGTAGTAAACTACAGAGTTTTTGTTTTTATTTTTCTCTCCGGATTTAAAGGTTTCAAGATGTTGGAATCATATAATCTAACAGAGAAGCATTTTGCTTCTGTACAAGGCGTATCACTGGAATCAGGCTCTTTCCCAAGCTATGTAGCATATCGACTCCACAAAAATGCCTTTGTCAGCCAGCCAATACGGTAAGTAAATCTGAAAGACTCATATTTAGAGCAAGCAGTTGAGGAAGGATTAATAGAGTTTATAGATGATAGCATTAATATCTTACGGAAGACATATTTATTTGATGTTCTTTTTACTGAACTCCAAGAAATCTACTCTGAAGAACATCTGCCACTGTTCTCATTAAATGCCGATCTATTTCTTCGATTCAATCTGTTCACAATTAATCCAGTTGCTTATTGTTCTTTGTTGGAGATTATGCTTCTTAATAATTCGAGTTGCACATAATCCACAGTTTGTCCTCAGGCAGTTGAACAACAGCCTCCTTAGTACAACAAGCTCCACATTGCCAGAGGAAAATAGTTTCAATATGGAGCGATAAGCACCACTTTTTGCAGCGGCATTGTTTACACTGAAGTAGACAGCACATTGGTGCCATTGACTTAGGGTAGTTTCTCCTCTACTTTAGTTGCCGTATTTGGCAAACGGAGTGGAGTTTTCAAAGGTATGTGGTCTTAGAGCTTGGTTGTGGAGGGATAATATATGATCATTCTTTCCAACGTTTTTTTTTTAAAAAAAAAAAGGACAGTTTTACTAAGAGGAGAACAGTACCTCTCTCTTTTTGCATTTGTTCCTCTCCCATGTATTTAAGTAAGTTTCATAAAAAAAGTGATTCTAAGTCAGAGGAGATGTCTAAAGATAGCCCATTATTCTTACTAAATTTAAGGAAATTTAATCTTATTTTCATACAAACCTTTGAAATCTGTAATCCTGCCAGGCTGGGTAAAGATCAGATCACAGACACAGGAGCTGAGGTGTATAAACCAATAATTTCTTTTTGACAGCCTTCTCAGCTCACAACTTCAAAAGTGGAGGACCTGTGGACTTTTTGAGCTCATTGATGTGCCATTATAGCTATGGGAGTGATAGGTCTGTGACAGCCTGGATTTTTACAATCTACAGAAGTACAGCGAATCCCAGTTTTGCAACTCTCTTACATTAAGATAAACCTTGCATTTAGCAGGATAAAATGATAAAAAGAAAAAAAGATAGATTTCCTATTAATTTCTTTTTTTTTTTAGAATGTTGTGATACATAGTCTGTTGTCTGCTGTAAGAGGTAGAGTAGACTTGCCAGAGTATTCTGGGCACTTATTTTTCATGAGAAGCCAGAAAATAAAACTCACTTTAGACTGAGTCAGCAAGGCAATAAAATCATCCATATCTTGGTGGCATAGTTGTTTCTATATCTGAAATAACTTGATATCTGAGTTATAAATAGTGTTGCTGTATCTACTTCAATATTTTCATTCTCGCACTGTGCTGTGTGGTGTTGTTGACTTAGTGATATGGCTGTTATTGCAGTGTCCATAACTGTATAAGTACATAAGCTTTGCCTAAAATACAGAGCAGCTCCTGTCTTAAACTTTTGATGTTTATGTTCATGAGGCCAAATCCCCTTTTCAGTTCCAGTATAATGGTTAAGGAGAAGCAGTTTCTTACAGTTTTCATATAGTTCCCCTCCTGCATTCTCTTCCTTCTCCTTCAGAAAATTCTGGAGGCCATTTAATGCATGTTTTTATTTACTTTTAGCTTTCTGCTTTTTTAACGTGTAGTGGTCTGAAGATCACAAATCTAAACCTCAGTGACTGATGAATGAGGTGGAGCCCAAATACATCACCAACTGTAGAGAATACATGAAATGTCTCCTCCGTTGTATCTGTGCCTGAAGGGCAGCAATAGTTAAGTGCTGTTTTCTGTTGCCTGTCTAAAACAGGCTAGATGAAAAAAGAATAAAGCTGTGGTCCTTTTTTCTGTACTTATCATCAAGGAATTTAAAATATGTGTAGTTTGTACAGAACCTTACCACAAGAATACATCTGCAAGATTTCTTGGTCATATTCTGGCTTCCTCCATAACCATGGTATCTGGACCAACTGAAGACAGGCTGAGTTTTCATCTTAAGAAATCACACAGTGTTTTTTATCACAAAGTTCTTTTCTGTTTGAGGGAGTAACTAAAATGCTCAGTTCCATTAAACTTTGTGGTTTCGCTGTTATTCTCATGTTTTTTTCTTTGAAAAAGAGCATATGATGATGATCTTATTTTCCTCATGTGTTTCGATGTGAAAAAATATCTTCATATTGTCTTAACAGGGAGATTCACCCAGAGGGATTGCCACAGGCGTACACTATCATTCTGTTATTCCGTCTTCTGCCTGAATCCCCCAATGAGCCTTTTGCAATTTGGCAGATTACAGACAGAGATTACAAACCACAAGTTGGAGTTGTGCTTGATCGTAAGGATGATTATGCTTATTGCATAGAGAATTTATATGTTACATTACTTTGCATGCATTCTTCCCAAATATTTCCAAACCCAAAGCATTCCTACATGGTGAAGGATTAGGTATTTCTATTTTTTTCACTTTTTAAAGACATTATTTTTTTCAACTAAGAATAATTCATTTAAACTACATTTCAACTTTGGTATTACCTCTAAAACCAAAGGAAAATACATCTCTGTACTTATGGATCAATAAGATCATCTATAACCTATGTTTGCCTACTTGAGTGATATACTGCATTTTATCTATAAGTGTATTTTGGGATGATGTGTTCAGTAGTACACATGAAATGAAATGTATTATTTTCACTTATTGCAGCTGCCAGTAAAGTGCTGTCATTCTTTAACAAGGATACAAGAGGAGAGGTTCAAACTGTAACTTTTGATAATGATGAAATAAAGAAAATCTTTTATGGAAGCTTCCACAAGGTAAAGGATTGAAATTATATGAGTGTTGCTTTCTGAAGTGCTGTTCTTTTAAACAAAAGACAAGCAAGAAGAAGTCACTGTCAGTTATATCCAGTATTTGTATAGTAGTGTAAGGTGACATAAGGACTTATAGATCATATAAAACAAGATCTCTGAAGTTATAGCTCTTTTTTTTTTTTTTTTTGAGTTAAAGGCCTACTTTTAACCAATGTAAGAGATTTGTCAAAATTTTGTCAACAATTTGTCAAGACTGTATAAGTGGAGGGATATATCTGAACAAGACATCATAGCCTGATTCGTAGCACATAAAAGCGAAAGAATAAAAGATAAACTGGAAAAAAAACAGGAAAGGAGTCATGATGAGAAAAGATTGGGGGGAGGGGGAGAGTATAGTGATTTGGAATCATTCAGAGAAGATATAGCCACAGAAGGTAAGTAGCTATTGACTTACAGGAAAAGGCAAGGAACCAATTTTGAGAGGTGAATAGCATATTGAATAAGATTCATATGTTTAAAAGACATAATACATGTATATGTATATATTTTGTATGTATGCATGTGTATTAGTACATTTTTAGCTTAAATTCATTATGTGTAAAATATTCCAAAGTATTCCAAAGTACTGTTAACTGAGGAAGAAACAATAATGACAGAAACTTCAGAAAAGATCTTATAACCTACTTGCAATTTAGAATGAAACTCAGGTTTTTTGAGTTGTCAAAATGGCTAGTGAAATCCTTACACGTTACTGTATCTGCCTTCACTCGTGATAGTTTTGTGCTTGCTGTTCTAATTTTATCCACCAAATTATGAAAACTTGATCCTGACAGGCTTCCTTACCTCTAGTCATCAGGAGGTGTTTGACTCACGCTACATACATGTCTGAAACACAATTTAAAAAACATTTTCTTGCTGTGTTAAGCATATATATTTAGGGAAAAAAAATCAGTTGCAATTGCAACATTTTTGGTCAGCTGAAATGCACGTTCTCATTTTTTGGTTTATCTCCTTTCTGTTTAGTTTAGTTTTCTTCTGATGACTATATATGGCTGGACTATAACACTTGTTTTCTTTATGATACCCTCTCCTGCATGACTAGTCACTACTAGCATTCCTTTGAGGATACAGATAAGAGGTTGCCTCTGTCAACTTGCTGATACTGGAGGCCACGTTGTCAACTGAAAGCAGGGAAAGCTAGCTGGTGCCAGAATTATGTTTTGTGACTTCATCTGTTTAAAACATGGATGACTACAATAATCACACAGTACTATAAAAGCTATTGGTTTCCTCAGAATCTCACAGATGATAATTTCCCAAGCTGCTTCTATGTTATATCCAGTTATTCTTGTTTTATAATTTATTTAATGGGTAATTATTTTTACATATACAAAGAAATGTTTGCATCATTGACTTTGTAACTGATACTTATGAGTAGACTTGGATCACACCTGCTTTAGGCAGCCTCTATTTAATCACTGGCATTTGTTTTTTTGCCTGGGTTTTTTGGTGTGTGTTTTTGTTTGCTTGTTTGTTTTTCCTGATTGCTTAGTAGGACAGCTGAATTGTAAGAAAATTTATTAATCTACTGGAGTAAGAAAAACTGCCAGTAAAGGCTAGGATAGATGTTGTTTTGGTGTAAAAGTTGAGTCATCACCAAGAAGTACTGTTAAGACACAGAACAGCATGTAGAATGTCTCAGTTTAGATATCAGTGTGAGAGTTAAGACTTTTTTTCTTCAGGTCAGTGGTGTGAAGCTCTTTACACGCTCTACTGCCAGCAGTCTGTTTTAAGTGTCTGCTGCTAATTTCATTGATGTTCAGAGTAATATTTTTCCTTGTAATTCCTCTAAACGTGATAGAGCTGAGCAGAATTATCTGACAGCACTTACAATGAAGCTCTGCTCATTCATCAGAGCAAATGGGGAACAACCTGCAACCCCAGCAATACTAGCAGTTATGTATAACTGTTTATTATGCTGGCTGGTGAAAAACAATTAAAGGAGAAATAAAAATCCAGATTTTTGTGTTATTTTAATAGTTAAATACACGCATAACAGAAAGCAATCCTAAGATGCCAAACGATATACAGGAGTAACAGCCATTTGCCATTTCTTGTGAAGCTCTAGAACTATGAATTCTTGCTTATGAGACGATTTCTTAAACAAAAGGTATCAATTATTTAGTAAAGTGGGTCATTCCCCTCCTTTTTTCCCAGAAGAGAATCAAAAGTTCAGATTTTGATAGTATTTAAAGTAACTGGAGTAGCCTTGCCTTAAAGAGCTGTATTTGGGATTTTTCACCATGTAACTGAGCTGACTCCTCTGGACTCTTTCCAAGATGATTACTGAGGTTGCTATCTGAGTCAGGTTGTTAATGATAGCATCATGGGACTGCTCAGCTCATGTGCTGGGAAAGCCTTCTGTGTCAGCCATGTTGATTAGCTCCTAATAAAGGATAGCAGTAGTTTCAGCTGGATAAAGGAAGGAAAGTAAGATTAACACATTTCAAATGGTACTTTTGCAATTTCTCCTACCATCCAATTTCAAAGAAATGACAAATCTTTAGAATGCAAGAAGATGTTTTCCCAAATATCAAACATTTTTGTGGTTTTCATTCGATGACTTACTGGCTCCTTCAGTGAAGCACAGTTAACTACACCTAACTGTGCAGGGAAATTTACTTTGGCATACTTGAACACTTTGCGTAGCATAGCTATGGTGAAAGCTGTTGAATCTGGCAAGTCCCACAGGAAAAATCCTGACTGCCTGAGACAGTCATTAAATTTATGACTGAATGTTTTGCAGAGACAGATGGCTTCTACTTTTTTGTTTCTTACCATGCTAGACTTCCTTCCAGATTGCAGTTTTGCAGTAGCTAGCCACAGGAAATTTGATAATGAGTGCATGTCTTTCTGCAGACATACATATGGGATAATAGATTGCTTAGCTTATTGATGTGGTTAATTTAGGAGTAGATCAGAACATCATCAAACATTATCTCAGAAGAGATCCAGAGAGAAAGATTAAAGTATGTTTTCTTTCTTAAAACATCAGTGCCTTCTGGTACTGGAAATGGTCAGAAGTGATGCTTTATGTTGATGTGTTAGAAATTGAAGAGAATGTTTCTGTTAAAATTTTCCTGAAAACAAAATGTAGCAGGATTTAATACAGAGATGTTTTATTTAGTGTAAACACTAGATGTATACTTTAATTAGATTTATGCTCGGGCCGTGAGATTCAGGCTGGAATTCAGATCTGGCATTAAATCAGTAGTGAGATGATTCAATAACTTGAGGGAGCCCTGCTTATTTTTGACTGCTGGGGTCACTTCTTTGGATAGACAATGCTCAGTAGTCATTGCTGTTTGAACATTTCCAAATTAATGATCCCATTCAGCATTCTGATGTAGGTTCAACTCTCCTAAGTTTTATGTGCAAATGAAAATGCAGTAATATGCATTCATTTTGCAGATGTCATTCACTTTATTTAATTTGTGACAAATACTTAACATTCCAGTAGAAGGACTTGCATGTTAGGTACTTTTCAGAATTAGTAAATTACATCTGTGATGAATTTAAACTGTTTGATGTATTAGTTAACCTGTAAAATTTAGCCATAAAATCAAATGACTGAGTATATGATATATAAATGATAATGAATTTAAATTTAATATGGTGCTTGATTTATTTTGTGCAAAGTTTGGTGTGTTATACTCAAATATACCTTGGACACACTCAGTTCTCTTTCCGCTATTTTTTTATTTGGTCAATATGTTGAGAATGGTAGTTAAAAAACGACTTGTATACACAGCACTGAGAATTAAACTGTGACGCCAACTGAATTTCAGATGACAAAAAACGAGGGCAGTTTCATAAATTTTAATTCCAATTATATAAACCATAAGTACATTATGTTTAAAGAGTTTTAGATAAGCTTTGCTGATGCCTTGGAGACAACTCCACATGGGAAAATATTTAATATGGAAAAAAAGAACAAATTCTCTAGAGATTGTTGAGACACTTGTTGACTCAGGACATTTAAGGGAATCTCTGTTTCAACTTTATGCCAATTTTTTAAAGGAGTCATCAAATAGCAGTATGTTTCTGAAGGGTTGTGTACTTTGCTAGCAGAAGCTTTAAAACAAAAATACATACTTCAAGGATTATTTACTGGTGATCTTACTGTGTTGATATTTTAACAATTACATAGATGTTATAATGTTGGATATAAAATATACGCAGTATGTAAGGTATATAAAGCCATTGGAATCTTTCTGTTGACTTAATATGTTCTTCCATTTACTTCATATTAGATTTACTAAAATGTCAGACCCTTGTTTCTTTCTTGGAGACTCCTGAATATCTTCTGTTTTCATAGATATGTAGGAAATTCACTTGCATAACATTCACCATGTGTACCATAAATTTTTGAATGGTAAAATTTGCTTCCATTTTTTTTGTTCTTCTGTTTAAGGTTTACTGTGTTTCCCCCAAACACTTCATTCTCTTCTCCTGGTAAACTTACTCTCCCTTTGTAACCGTCATTCTTTTCTCCCTCCTAAGTTTCCCTTATTTCTAGTAATTAATCTCTTCCTCTTCTTTCCTGTTTCCCCTTATTTTAGCGTATATGCTTGTAGCCAAATTTCTCTCATGGAAATTTATCTCTTGCGTCTTCCATTATTTTGTCTTTTTCTGGGCAGGCTTCTCTGCTCACTTCCTATATCTCAATGCAACTAATGCTTCTGGTTGAGTCATCTGTGGAAACTGAACCGTGGATCTTTGGAGCTGAAACAATCTACTCTTTGAACCACAGAAATAGAATATTAGCCAGTGAGAAGTCACAGACTCATAAACTTCTTGTGTGGTCCCATCCATCAGAAGAGGACAAGAAGAGCTTATATTCACTCTTCTCAATTTTTTTTTTTGTTTGTTTTTTTACTTTTACACTATCTTAAAGCAATTTTCAAGCAAGCTTTTTAAAATAGATCATTGTAGTTCAACTATTATGTCAAATAGTATTTAACTCTGCTTGTGTATTCATCTTATTGACCTTCAACACATTTTAAAGAGGTTACTAATGTCATAGACTTTCCTTGAGTTTGGATTTTTCCACCAGTTGAAAGTAAAACAGGATTACTAGGAAGAAAATTTTAAGCAGTATTACCTGAACAGTGAAATACTGTGAAAAGTATTAAAGTAAATATGCCTATGTTCATTATCTAAATATTTTTTCAGGTCCATATTGTTGTAACTTCATCAAATGTTAAGATATACCTTGACTGCAGTGAAATACTAGAAAAACCAATTAAGGAGGCTGGGAACATCACAACTGATGGCTATGAAATACTTGGGAAACTTCTTAAAGGTGACCGGAGATCAGCAACGGTAGGCAATAAACATTAATCCATTCATTAGTGCAAGCCCTTGAAATTTTCTGAGAAAAGAGATTAGAGATTAAGGATTGCTAAGAAACCAGTACTGCACCCAAAGCTTTCAAGTGCCTGTACTGCAAGACCCAATATACTTAAGTTTGGTCTTGATAGCTTCTCATTCTAGCAGAATTGCAAGAACAAACATCTAATAGCTGAAAGTTGCAGTCAGGTAAATTCAAACAAGAACTGAAATGTTTTTCTTTTATTAGGGAGAGCAGTTAGTCATTGGAACCATTTACTGTGGATTCTCTATCATTAGAAATCTTGTTAGCCTTATGTAGGCTTGGCTTTAAATTTTTTATTAAACTGTTTTTCTGTCAGTGTCAAAAAAAAAGAAGTGAAAGTCTGAATGATGTTAACTACAGTAGAAATAAATTGTTTGAGGAGTCATTTTTAATGATAATGCCGCTAGATTTCGTAAATAACATTTCTAGTATCTTTCAAGAGCCCTCCTTTCTTTTACAGTTAGAAATCCAGAATTTTGACATTGTGTGCAGTCCAGTTTGGAGTAGCAGAGACAGATGCTGTGATCTTCCTTCTATGGTAAGTATAAATGAGCCAGAGGCTATTCAGAAAATTGTTATTAGTAGCATATTCAACAATATCAATATTAGTCTGGAATTATACTTTATACTGACAACATATCTAAATCACAGTTGTCAGAGCAGCCAGTGAACAACACTGCATTTCAAAGTTCTGTGTCTGAGGGAGAAAGATTGTAATGTGCTACAACTGAGTCCCTTTGGAATGGTGGGAAAAACGTCAGTTATATTTTGTGTTTCACTGATATTTAAGATTCGAGGTATTATGAAAGGAATAGCTATATTCTTTTTTTTTTTAATTTTTATTTAATCTATTCTTAAATTGACATTCAAAAAGCAACTAGTTTATTCTTTGTCAGTGCAAGTGATTGCTAAATGGCTGTAAATATTAGAGCAACAAAAATTGCATATGAATTTGATTTTGCCTGTGCCTCTTTCGTTAGTGTCTTGTATAGCTAGCAGAGAAAATTTGCTAAAAATATGAAAGGTCATGTAGAAATCTTTGGAAACCACTGTTTAGCTATGACTCTTACTTGTACTTGAAAACGGCATAACTGAGAATCTTAGTGTTATTGTTTTAGAAAAGTATGCTGACACCAATTATTTTCTTTAGAAGCACAGTAATAGTTGTGATTGATTGAATTTTCAGAGAGATGAAGCAAAATGTCCAGCTCTTCCAAATGCTTGTACCTGTACTCAAGACAGCGTGGGACCTCCAGGACCCCCTGGACCAGCTGTAAGGAACTATTTGCAATAGACGGATTTTCTGATTTTTAAATTTATGGAAGTTGTTTTGTGCTGATCTGTGATTTTGTGAAACAAAGGTCAGTCAGAGAGATAGTCTCTATTAACATGTCCATGACATCATGGTAATCTCTTCCCCTTTCATCTTAGTTTAAAACATAGTTGGGCAGCTCCTACCACCTCCACTTGTTTATATAATAATCCTTTTCCCGTATTTCCAACGTGATTACTGTGAATAGCTCCTCATTGTTTGATAGGTTGAAGGAATCTGGCCCAATCTCAGCTGTCTTGCACTTCATGTACAAGGTATTTTTAATGGACTGTGCAAATATTTTTCCTAAATACAGAGTCAGGATTTCACTCCAAGGAAACATTCTTTACAGTGTTGGGGAAATAAATTAGTTACTCTCTTTTTTTTATGTGGAGAGATAGTAATCTATGGAATGGATATACTCCTATCAATTGCTTTCAATATAAGGGAGATATACTGAGCCCAGTAGTCCTTCTACTTTGAAGCTTAGTCCTTCTACTTTGAAGCTATCAAAAATTCTACATGAGGAAGCTGAAGCCCAGTTAACTTGTCTGGCAGTATACTAGAGAGGTATCCAGAGATTTTGATTGAATATAAATTGAAGATATTTATATCGGCAGGGACAAAAATGACAATAATTTTTCATGGGCTGAACTGTCAAGGCTGAAGCTTTACCTGAGTGGTTTACCTGAGTTTCTGATACATCTTTTATTCTAGTACTCTTTTTAGCAGTGTGATCTGTACACTTCAAAACTTTGGGCTTTCACATAAGAGTTTGATAAAGAAGATTCGTAATGCACACCAGTATGATGTATGCTTGCTTTCCCTGTATGAAATATTTTTTTTTCCAAATATTCAATTTAGGGTGGCCCAGGTGCTAAAGGTCCCAGAGGTGAAAGGGGTTTGACTGGATCATCTGTAAGTATCTTTCTGGAGTGCATCTCTAATGTTGCTATATGCTTACCTGTATGAAAATTTGTATTCTTAGCTATGCTGAGCTAAGAACGGAGATTAAAAATTTACTTGGAAATATGCCTATATGTTGTTTATGTGCAGCCTACCTATTTAAGAACATATATATACAGTCTATGTATATATGTAGCCTCAAAGGCATTGACTGCACATCAGGAAACTAGAGTGCTTGCATCAGGGTGTTAATATGCACTTTGCAGCGTCATTGTCCTTTCTTCTGTACAGAGGAGACAGATAAACATCCAATTAATGCTGCTAGAAGGTGTGTATTGGCCTGAGATGCCAACATGAATCAGAGAATAGCTTATGAAAGGATATGCCACTTGGATAACTATTTCCACAGTTATTCTGAAGTATAAAATGTGTCTCCAGGCTTCTGATTTACCTTAAGAGTCTAACCCAAAGGATTTTGAAGTACAGATCTAAGAAGGGGTTGTCATTTAAAATCTAGTTTTAATTTTCTGCTTTAAGGGTCCGCCTGGTCCTCGTGGTGAGACAGGTCCTCCTGGCCCTCAAGGTCCCCCAGGTCCCCAGGGTCCCAATGGGCTGTCAATCCCAGGTGAACCGGTAAGTGGCTGTTCTGGGTGTGGGTGGCAATGTGCGTGGAGTCAGAGCTGTCCATGGGGATGGTGGTCTTGGGAAGAGGGTGTCAGCTTTGTCCTGACATTCATTTTTCCCTGCAATGTAGTAGTATTATGAAGAAGTCTTTTGCTGAAACAAGTCTCTTTCAATGCAATAGCATTTTCTATCCTGAATGTTAGTTACATTTGCTTATGGGGTGCCTATGAAGGGACAGAGCCTAAGCGTTGTAGCGTACATTGTGCTTCCCTGTTTTTAGTTTTATAGCTTTTCTGTAAAGTTGCTAGGCCTTCAAGTTGTAGTACTCAAAACCATCAAACTCGTGCAGGAAAATTAAGCATGCAATATTACTCTGAAGACTTTCTCATAGATTTACATATCCAGCTTCTATTTTCTGAGCTTAAACCAGTGGCTGAAAGTTCAGAGAGGCAATAGGTGCCTAGATCTAGGCTTACAAAACAGCCCTTCATTCCTGGGGGCTTTCTTGGCAACAGGATGCATGCTTTAGCTAGAGGCTACTTCCGATTTCCTGTACATGCCTTCAAAGCCAGAGTAACTCTATTAACACTGATGAAAGTTCACCAGATTCTGTTTTTTTAAAGTGAATAGCATAGGTAACCCTTTGTCCACATTCTGAATGTGTTAAGACTGCTTTAACCGTACTTTAATAAGTAATCACCCCAAAAGCATGAATATAATTTTGATGTTTCCTATTTAGGATTAGCCTGAATTTTAATATAATCAGGAACTTTTTGTATGAAGTCTGACTAAAATATAGATTTTATGGAAAAAAAATAGAATTGGTGTCTGATTGTATGCTGTCTCATTTTGCATTCAAAATCAGATTACTTTCTCTGTAGTGTTATTTGGGAAATGACAATCAAAATGTGCTTTAAGATAAACATTAGGTACACCTTCTGTTTTGTAAGGACAAAGTAGAAAGATTTTGTTAACCAGTGTAGATGTTTTTCAGTTGTTTGTGGGTTTTTTTTTTTTATACCGGGAGGAAAAATTTCATCAAGATGACTTTGAGGTGCCAAACAGCAAGAAAGACCAAACACATTCCTTTTACATGTGGAATACAATAAATACATTTATTTGTCACATTCAGTTTGAAAACCTCTGCAGAATGAAAACACGTACATTGATGGAACTTGTCATTAATTAACAATAAGTTAGAGCACTGCTTTTGAGTCATGTAATTTCATTTTTCATGTCAACTGCAATTCACATTGGCAGGCAACATTTACAAATTATTTGATTATTTGTGTGTCATCAACAGTTATTAATGGTAGATTATCATGCAAGCCACTGTGAAAAATAAATATTATATTGTCAATTTTAGCTCATGAGGCTTTAGACTGTGCATTTATGCTACAGTGCTGTAGTGTATGTGGAATGCAAGCCAGTTGTGACAAGCAATACATTGCTTCCTCACATGCTTCTCCACCTTTTGTCCTGGAAGGGTTTAATGCCTTTTAGATGATGGGTTAGAGAAAAACAGTGATACTTTAAAAAGACTGAGCTTTTACCTTTTGTAAGTGTAGACAGCTCTGTTCACCAGTTGAGAAATATAAGGGAGGTTGGGAGAAAACATCTAACCCTTTTCTGCTTTCCTACTTGTGAAGACATTAATATCAGTCTCTCTTACTGAAAAGTCCATGCTACTTCCTTATCAAAATGTGTACCCTCTTCAAATGTCTGCTTGCCTATGTTTTTAATATAATGTCAACCAGTCATCCTGCATTTGCAAATTTTGTGAGATGATCAGTATTTCTTCAGTTAAGAGGTGTATGTGTCATAATTTATTCCATAATACAGTTGGTTTATGGGTTCCTTAATTTAGGTATGTTGCAGGAAATATTTTGTGTCCATTTACACAAATTAATTATTTTGCTGACTGTTCTATAATTCAGAATCTCTAACAATCATTTATGAAAATTATAGGGTCGTCAAGGAATGAAAGGTGATGCTGGCCAGCCTGGACTACCAGGGCGATCGGTAAGTCGATGCTTAGGCAAGATAATGTCATTTTACGCTATTCCTGATGCAGGTTAGCTGCTGGACCGATGTCTTTGACATCACTAGGAGTCATGGGCTTTTCTCATATCTTCCTAAGTAATAATTTTGGAAACATAATTATCTTACACTTAGGAATTCGAAATGTAGGAGATAGTAAAACATTTGAAACAGCAAAAGTAAAAGAGCAGCTGTATTGAGTCAAGCCAAATGTCCATCTGGACAGTTGTGAATGCACAAGGACAGACCATCGGATTAAGAAAAATACACTGATAACTCCCCAGGAAGGTCTCTCAACTTCTGACCATCTGCAGTTAAATGTTGTCCTAACATAAAGGTTGCAGAACCTTTCCTGAATGCCTCTTCAGTGATGTTGTCTAACTGCTTTGCACTTTCAGAAGTCAAATGGTTTTGGGACTGTCGCGGACTACTGGTGTCTCACTCTTCGGGGATCACAACCCAGAAGGTTGTTGTGATCTCCCTCGTATATCAGAAGGCTTTATCACACTCCAAAGGTCCTTGTCACAACCAAAGGCTTCCAACAGAGAGCTTCAAGATGCTGCTCTCCAGGGGCTCCTATCACTCCAGTCTCCAGGAGGGAACTGCCCCACTCCCTCTTGGGAGTGCCCCACCTTTATTCATCCATGAGTCACGTCGTTTCTGATTGACCAACGTGACTCACAGCACCTGTCCTAACGAGGCACAGGTGCTTTCTATTGTAGTAGTCAGGAACTCCCCCAACATGGGACATTAATTGTATGCTTTCTGAAAGAAGAAAGCAATTACACTTACTTGCAGGTTTCTACATTATAAAGTAGGATTAGGTTTTGAGAAAAAAAAATAAGGTTTTTTTTGATAATCAGCCAGATTTGGATAATCTAAAGTCATTGATTGGCAAATGTGGTAACATAACTAATGTTCCTTGGTTACTATATTGTCCTTGATTTTACTGGAGATACAAAGACTGTATGGGAGATGCTTAAATGCTGTTGTTGATTTAGTTTCTTATATCAGACAAGGTCAGTCATGGACCAAGAGCTTTGCACCTTTTATCTGTTTTATTAGTCCTTATAACCCTGAGTAATATATATTTAGGGAGTAGTAATGACCTGTAGAAAACAATGCTACATTTAATGTACAGTGAAATCAGACAGAAAAGAGGGGAGAACATGACAACATGATATAAGGTTGTTCAATATCCTGTTCCTACAACAGTGATACTGATCCTACAGAATGTTGAATGAAATTACTCCTGAGTGTCCTCTAATGCAGCCTGCCCATTTAATTTTAGGGTTTATTCTCTACCCAGAAGCTACAAGGAACAGAAACAGAGAACTTAGAATGCGCACAATAAAACAGCAGAATGTTAAAAAGTAGGACAATAGAGGGAAAAGAATAATAAACAAAGAGTCTAATTTCTGTTTCTTTAGACATTGGGATATGACTGCAGCTAGACTTTAGCACGAGGTGTTAAAGGATTAGCTCATATCATGTCATAGTCATGTGTGTAAAGGCAATAAACCAGATATATCTACTTTATGGGAACAGTACTGAAAATTATTTTTGAAGTTCAATTATGGGCTGTTAAGGAAATGGAAGTAAAAAGTAGAGTGAGATCTTGTATTATATATATATGAAATAAATTATTTCTCCTAAAGGTTTGTTTTATTTTTATAAATGCCAAAAAGCAACATTGAAGACAATTACATATTTAAATGTGTGCATATATACTGGGATGATTAGCATACCAGTGATGTTTGTTCTGTCATGGATACAGTTTATCATTCCTTTCCCTTTAGGGAACCCCAGGTTTACCTGGTCCACCTGGCCCAATGGGACCTCCAGGAGAAAGGGTAAGGTTTCTTCAGTGTATTTTCTGAAAAACAAACAAACAAACAATGTGGTTTTGGTTTTTCTTCCCCTTCTTTATCATATCTTTCTATTTTCAAACGCTTTTTCAAAAGTTCTTTTATCAGTATTCAACCTGGAGGGGTAAGAGTGGAAGGACTGGAAAAACCTAGGGGTGAAAAACTCCCCAGATAGCCATAGGGCAGCCAGATAGGTTCTGTAAAAATTGCACTGCTCGTTCTCCTGACTAGGATCTCAGATGCCTGCACCCATAGACCAGAACATCCACGGAGCTCTGCTGAGTTACTCATCCCTCCTGTCTTCCTCACACTGTTGCTGCTGTAGGGAATCCCTTTGAAACTCTGCTTGTTTCAATGGCTGGGAGATGTCCTATCTGTAAAGAATCTCTCTGTGCCATTCTTACTGTGAAGGTCAAGCTTCCCTCTTAACCTTTGACTATCTGGAGCTAAGAACTTTGGATGGGGGATTCTGAGATGTGTTCATAACGAAGGGTGTGCACACAGGTATTTCATTGGGAATTGTTACAATCCCTTTCTTCTAATTTGGGGTCAACTAAGCAAATCTCTTTTGTCTTCAAAGTGGCGTATCACCTTTGAAATGACTGAAGCAATTACTTTACAGTCAAAATTAATAGCTGATATATGCTTCTATAGTTATCCTTTAGCAGGAGTTGATAGCCAGAAGTGAAAACAGACCACTATGTGAAAGTCAATTGCCAGAGAACGTACTGTTGGATTGGTGGGTTATTAGTGGGCCATCAAAGTTAATTTATGAATGCTATGTGAGATTATTGAAATGAGATATCTCAGCATCTCTTCTTACAGGGAAAGTATCTGAGAGGGAGGTTGTTCTTAATTTAAAAAGAAATCTCAGATTTTCCAGCCAGTCTGTGAGTGAGACAACAGCAAAAAGGGAGATCTTGCTCCTCTGGGATAGAACAACGATTCCTTTTCTTAAAAATGTTGAGAGACTGACTCCATCTTCAGTTAATTAACAGCAGCTGAACATCTTCTTAACTGACTGAAGCTCATTGTTCCATAGCCTTCTCCAGCTTTAGTTGTGATAGCTATTTTTATAACTTATACATTGCGGATAGGTTTTAAAATACATGCTAGTAGTAATCAAGAGTGTTGCATTTACATAATCTTAAAGGCCATTTTAATCAGACTACAATCTTAAATTAATCTTTATTTTAAATTTAATTAATCTGCTTTATTTTTTTTGAATAGGGTTTCACAGGAAAAGATGGTCCCACAGGTCCCAGAGGCCCACCAGGACCAGCGGTAAATATAATTTTGTCTTTGATATACTCTGAAATAAGAGACCTGAGCCAAGAGAGAGCTTCATTGATGTTTTCAGTTTCTGTCAAATATGAAATGGATCCTTTGTGTAATATCCTAAATGGATCTGGGAAGCCCTCAGTAAAAGGTGAGCAGACAGCTGCATAAAGCATGTATTTGCAAACATTCATAAGAGTGGTTTTGAAACTGATTTCTGCCAGTGTAAATAAGGGAAGAACCAGTTTACCTGGTTCTTTAGCCATGATCTTTGCATGCATAGCTAGGTCTACTGAAATCAATCAGCTTATTTATTGTCTAGTGGAAAAAAAAAGCTGTTAATACAAAATTTTCTTGATAAGAGTATTTGAGGATTAGTTTTTGCTTAAAAAGCTACTTCATTGCATTTTGTGGGACCATGTTAGAAAAGGTGCTGATTGTTAGAGAAAAACATATGCTGGATTAGACAGACTAAGATAGGCAAGTTGCTGCAGCTCCATGTTACCAAGTCCAACCAGTAGTGAGGCAGAAGATGTATTCCCAGTAGGCACATGTGCACAGAGCACACATCTACACAACACATATTTATACAAACAGGAGTTGCTAGGGCAGGGTACTATTTGGGCTGCCTCTGCTCCCCCACAATTGTCTTTCTGGTGCTCCTTTGTGGGTGTGCAGACGAGCTTTTATCATATAACCTAACACTGGTCTTTTATTTGTTCATTTTTATCTAGTATCACTAGAATGACTTTTATGGACTTCTTATTGTGGACTTTTACATGGATCACAGACCTGATAGATGAAGTTAGAAGGCCAAAAAGCCTTGTATTTCTTTAGGAATCTGTCATGAAAAGTGATCTCAAAAACATATAGACACTCTCTGCATCTTTAGATTCAGAAATGTCTGTTAAAATGTAGTGTTATGTAAAAGGACACATATCCATGAAAAAACAAACAATTTCTTCTAGAGGAAAGTTTTCAAGCCTGATATGTACCTAACAGAAGAAAAACCTGATAGGAGCTCTTTTCAGTATTGCTTTGCACTCAATACAATAACACGTTTCGCATTAACACTTAGGCTGTTGTGGGTTTCCACAATTCACTTTACATGTCTTCTGCTGTAGGGTGCTCCAGGAGTTCCAGGAGTTGCTGGCCCAAGTGGAAAACCAGGGAAGCCAGGAGATCGTGGGACACCAGTAAGATAACGATACACTAAAATATCAAATTTAAAATTACAGTCTGTTGATGAATATGAGACTTTTTGCTTTAAATACTTGTCTTGCACTTATGGTAGTGGTTAATACAATGGAGCTGACCTAAGACCACAAGCCTTTTTTTAAAACAATTTTATTTTTATAGTATGCCATTTTGCTGAGTTTAATAGTTGAGGCTGGAAATTGTGGTCTCTGGTTTCCACTAAAAAGATTGTAGGCTATTATGTGCCAAGACATATATTCCTACACTGCATAAGCATGAAGAACTAGGTCAGCAAAATGGCTGGAAAGTCTTTATATTTGTGTATGTGTCTCTGTGTGTGTAGTAAAAAAGTGACACACTACTGAAGGAGGATAATCTTTGATTTGCAAACGTTTAGGCTTTTTTAGAATGTGATTTCAAAATTATTTGGAAGTGGTTTCTGTGGGTTCTATTCAAGCCTTTAAAATGCATCTTGATTAGGGAGAAAGAGCAGGAGGAGCAGCTTCAGGAGAAATTTGAATTGATTCATTTATAAGATCTCTGGGAAATTACGCTTGAGTCAGGAGTGGAGACAGCAATTGAAACTGGAAGTCAGTCACTACTTGAACTTAACCTTTGGCAATCAGGCAGAATTTTCCATTCTGCTTCAATGTCATTGTGTATATGACAACTGGATAATTTGAAAGAATATATAGTAGGCTGAGAAGCTTGATGGTTATGAATCGGAAGTTCCCAGGAGCACCTGGAAGCTGAAGGGTCGTTTTCTCATACACACATTGAATTCAGTCTGTGTTTGGCAGCCTACGAATCCCATTTCTCCTAGCAGTAGAGGACACCGAATGTCTTAGGAAAGCACTGAAGCTTTCCTGCCTTTAGACATACATTGCTAATATGATATTCCTGCCAGGTCAGATGCTGGATAGACATAGCCGAGGCAGAAGTGTTGTGATTTGTTCAGAAGTGAGCTTCAAACTGCCAGGTGTATCCAAGTTTTCCTTCACTTAGGGTACTGGATAGCTGACCCAGTTCAGCAGCAAAGATCTTATGCAGGTAAATAGCGTGCAAAGGAGGAAATTTGGCTACAAACCCAGATTCAGTGCTTTTGCGAAGCAAGGCAGTCAACTCCTGTCCAAGCACCATGTGTAAGTTCTCCTACACTCCAATCTTAATAGTTTCTTTCAGTTGGAAACACATTTTTTCCCTAGCTATTACTCTTCCTTGTAATGTGACACTGTGCATCATATTTACCGTTTCTTATGTTTCTAGAACAGATCCCAGCAGGAATGCACCTTGCACAGATGTTTTATCAAACTCTTGGTGGACAGAATTTCAACACTTTCCTTTGTGTCTAGTATTAGAATTGCCAAAGGTGCAGCCTAATGGCCAAATACAACTTGCAGTGTCCTGAATCGTAGTTCAGACCAGCCTAAATTTGTAACTTCCTGTCCTGGAAAAGATAATGAGGCTTCATTTTGCCTCTGGTAAATACAAGGAGTGAATAATATTTGACCAGATCCCACCTTTTTTTCTTCTACCTGAACAATCTGTATTGTTGGTACTATGCAGTCCAAGTCAGGTGGTAGACTCCTACAAAGCAAAGAACATCCCAGGCAAAAGATGCACAGTTACATGTAAATTATGAGAAGCCTTGATGTTGCGAAGATATTCCCAGTGAATGCAGTCAATTGGAGCTCTTTCCTGATGTGTTAACTACCGTTAACGTGCTAGGCTGAGACAGACCACACCATGAATGTTGCTGTGAACATTTCTCTGCAACAATGTGTACTTATACTAGAAGTTGATGCTTGAAACGTAATAACTGAATTTTCATGGAAATAGGATATTTGACTTTATGATCTGCTTACAAGTACTTCCAGGTGAAACTTGTGTATTTTTTCAGTGTAGCAACAAAATGGCCAAGAAAGGAAAAGTAAGAACACGAACCACTCAGTAGATCTATTGAGAATTGAGCACTGGCTATCCTAGAGAAAACTAATATATCTGTCCTCTGTCTGTCTAGCCAAACAGAGAGTGACTGTTTGGTAGTAGGCTGTACATATAACATAAAGTAATAATCAGCAAGGATAGGAAAGAGTAATTAGGCTGAAAGAGGATATTGGCTCAAGAAGAAATTGATATACATTTTCTGTGAACAAATGTAATGGGAAATAGAAGATCTTGGACTATCGGAGAAGAAAAGTTCCAATATTGTTGTTTTATAGGTGTGAGAGTCAAAATGGTAATGGATGGGTAGACAGACTAAGTTGTCTTTTTTATAAAACAAACTGTAAGAGCAAGGCACGACTTTGTTATCTAGAAGGTCCCCAGGAAGTAGTACAAAGTATTTATTTTTTATATACGAGGTGCTATTAGACTGATGCCTCCAGGACCAAACAGCCTGTGAAAACCTTTAGAGGGTAATTCCAAGCACATAAGGGAAATATTTGTTGTGAGTTAAATGCAGTTTTTGAGTATTTTCCATTCTCTGCTATCATGTATTCACTGACCTTGCATCCATCTATGCAGACATCCTAGATGAGGTCTCAAAAAGACACAGCTTTCGGAGCAGCGAACTGGTGGTTCTTGTGGGGAGCAAACATTCTTTTGGGGAAAACGGTTGAGCACATTATCTTTTAAAGTAAAAATAGCAAAACTTCCTTTGTTTTGTCCTGTTTCAGCCACAGAACTTTGCTGCAGCCCCAGCCTTCATCCCACAGTTCAGAAAAATCCCACACGCAGCATAAACTAGCTCTTCCTCACACTGACCCCAAGTGACTCCCTTGACACAGGATATCAACAAAACAGAATGTCAGCAGCAGCTGCTGCTTCTCAAAATTCTAGCAAGCAGTTGACTAAATTGCATGTTTTTCTCTATTTGAAGAAAATAAAGTGAAATTTAAGAAGACTATAACCAAGTGGGAGGAAGATGCAATTAGCAACTCAGTAATTACAGTTGTAATTATTTTTTGGAAGTCATATTTCTAAAATATCCAGGTGGAAAATGAACTTTGTTGTTAACATAGTCAGTCAGCTTCTAATTTTCAAATTTTAACATTAGTTAGGAATAGCCTATAGATTTCCAATCATAAGGCAAAATCGCTGTATCTTTGCAAGGTCACAAGTTGAAGAATGAGACTCATTTGATTTCAATGAATTGTAAAGTTGGCTATGTATCACTTATAATTAAGGAATGGCCTTAGCATTTTTCTAGCTGGGAGACCTTTGTTGGTGATACTTTGGAGCAATGTTGTGCTTTTGTTACCAGAGCACCTTCCTGTCTTTCCACCATGGCATGCTTTTGAAGACAGCCTGAAGAACTTTTATTGATCAGTCAGCAAAAGTATTTCCAGAAACAGTATATAAGATTTGAACGTTTTAAGTTTGCTTCATTTTTTTTTTTTTTCTCTTCGGTGTATAGTTCTGGCGTGTGAATGTGCTAGCAAGTGAAGTCATTGGAACAGGGCATTTTAAGTAATTATTAGAATATTGCTCAGATGGTAGACCAAAAATCTGATTTCTAATGCTTGGACTTACCTAGCGAATAAACAAGAAGACACACTGCATGATTTGCTTCCCACCAAAACAATACAAGGTTGTACCATGAAAGCCTTAGAAAGAATGAGAACTAGAATGAGCAGGTATTATAAATATGTACTCAGCAGATAATTTCAAATGAATTTGCTTTCAGAAAATAGCAAAAAGTCACCAAGTTTCAAACAGAAAGAGAAGCATCAAATAATTTGTTAATATTTTTCCCCCGAGGTTTTCATGTTATAGACTAGCACAAGTGAAAAACCTGCAATTCTATTCAATGGATATTTCAAATATATGTAATAATTTATGACTAAGATATTAGTGTCTGTTGAATTGAGAGTCAAATGACATCTCTTTTAGAGCTCCAGTACATCAGCATTTACCACAATGTTAATTATTACAGAATGACAGAAGGAAATGTCATATTTTCCTGATTGTTTTAATTGTTACCATTTATTTATGTTGTTATGGCATTTGTAAGTCCATGGTTTGTTTCAGCATGTGGCTGTGCTAAGTTAAAACTAAAAGACATACTTTCCCTGTGGACTTCACAGAGCAAGAAAAGATATAGATGAAAGTGTGAAGGACAGAAGGTAAAGAGTATTAATCAGTTTGATGGGTATATTGTGTACATATTAGTAACTGTCTCATTAGTGGCATCATTTATCCCAGTGGCACAGTTACAGTGTCGCCATTCTAAATCTTTCTTTTGGGTCTGTACATTTAATTTTGTGTGAAAGATCTGTTATGCTTGATGCAAATGTACTATATGCCAACTACTTAACTTGCGGATGAGCTGCCTCCTCTTTTCTGTGGCATGTCACGGGGTAGGTGTATGTAACACTACTGCAGAGAAGATCAGATAGCATACTAAGTTCACACCCCGACATACCCCATGGGAATTTGTTTGCCCAGAACCTTGATAGAAGTCTATGACAGTGTCGCTGCATTCAAATTGTATCTCCTGTGACCTCAGTGGAATGATTTGTGGTCTCATGTTGTTGAAATTAATTGCGGATACTGTAGGAATGTTATGAAAAACAGCTGCTGCCCACACTTAGCCTTTGCTTTGTTAACGATGATAAACAGGCTCCTTAAAGAAATACTATGATGTAAAAAGCAGTAATACTTAGGACCTATGTGCAACTATGTGGAGAGCTGTGCGGAGCAGCAGATGACCAGACTGGTCTTCATCCTTGAAATATGTCTTATGTTCAAATAGTAATTTAGGCTACTAGTGAGAATCTAGTTGAACAGATGCCTGCCTCTTTATGCTTAACTAACAAAGCTCCTGTGCTTTTTGGACACATTCTGGCAGGTGAATTTACAATAGATTTTTTTAGAAGAACTTAGCTGTGGCCTAACTGCATCCACTGAAGTCACCTGTAAAACTCACAGTGACCACATTAGGAACCATAGTTTAGGGCAAAGTTTTGCTTGTACGGCCCTGAAATTTCACACATGTGGCATTTGTCACAGTGAGTATTCAAAAGCTGTTTGAATACTCTGTGGGCTATTCATGATGGCTTCCTAAGCAGGTCTTGCAATAAATGCAGTTTTGTTTTCCTTTTTTTTCTTTTGTTTTTTGATGTCAAAATTAAAAGAACAGTTTTGAAACACTTTGCAGATTTTCAGATTTTTTCAAAGAGTGACCTAGTGGCTAAAAGAAATGACTGTGAATCTAATTTTCTACTGATTTTAAATTGGCATCTCCAATTTTATTTCGGCCAAGATCGTGTCAAATAGATCAAAGCAAGTTATAAACATCCTTCTGAGAAGTGTTCCAGGCCAGGTTAGATGCGGCTTTGGGCAACCTGGTGTAGTGGAGGATTTCTCTGCCCATGGCAGGGGGATTGGAACTAGATGATCTTTAAGGTCCCTCCCAACCCTAACCATTCTATGATTCTATGATTCTATTTTGAAAATCTTTAAAAATCTACCATACAAAGCATTGTAACTACGATTTTTTGGAAAGTATGATTTGCTCTCTCTGAATGGTTTTCTTTGCTAGCACTGGAATGCAAACATAAGCCTAAAATCTCAAAATGTTGTGTGAGAGATGCACACACAAAATTTTGTTTGCAGAGTAAATTGTGCTTGCGTATGTCCAGTTCAGCATTTAAAAACAACTTTAGAGTATACCTAATGATGTTTTTCCAAGCATAGACACATACATATATAAAAATTAGAATCAGTACATCTGGTTGGCTTCTTACATAATATCCTTGAAATCCAAAAAACCCACAATAACCACTAGAGTATTCAAAGGCAAATGTAAATTGCTGTTAGGCAAAAGTTAGCTCTTGGCAAATGTCTGTAATTATAAAGCAGCTCAAGCTAAGACTTCTGTCAGACTACTGTAAGACCAGAAATGATTGAGAATTAGCAGGGAAGCTGTCATTATACATAGAATAAGCACGTAATAACATCTCTCTCCATCTTATGTGTCATCTCTGCATAGCACTTTTTTGCTTAACCCAGGGTCTGTTTCTTGTGGGTTCAAGGAGACAGCTACCCTTCCTAGACGTGTTATTCTTCCTTGCTTGCCTTCTTTAATGATGATTTGGCTTAAGACTTAAAATTAGAGTCATATATAATTCACACAAGACTATTCACCATTTACAGAAATATGATGCTAGAAATTCAACTTTCAAATCACCAATATGCTCCCACTGTCAGAACACATCAGTTTTTTTGGCCCTAATTTAAATTTTTCCTTCAGATCTTTTTCATCTGCATCTGTCAGTGTGTTTGATTATACATAGAAGTTCAATGCTTATCCAGTATTTTCTGGCACTTGCTTTAGCATTTCTGAAATGTAAAGTTCTAGGAGGACCAGATCTGTCTTCTTGAAGGAGTCAAAACATTTTCTAAAATTGCATGTCTCAAACCTATAGGTGAGGTGGAATAACGTAATCCTTCAGCTGTTTTATTTTTGCTCTATTTATTTTAGGGTACACCTGGAATGAAGGGAGAAAAAGGTGACAGAGTAAGTCTGATTTAAAGTCAAATTTTCCCAGTTTTTTTTAGTTAAACACTATGTCTTTAAAAGAACAGACACTTGCTAATAAACAGCTTGTTTCGGTTTTGATTATTTAGGGTGACATTGCTTCTCAGAACATGATGCGAGCAGTTGCAAGACAAGTTTGTGAACAACTGATAAATGGTAAAGTGTTGCTTGCTTTGTATTAGTAATTTGCTACTTTGTTAAAAGAGAAAACAATGGTTTAAATTTAAGGTGAGGAATATTGGTCACAAGCATAGCAAGAGCTATTGAGTAATCTGATAGCTGTCCAATGCCAATGTTTTGGTGGAAAAAAACGTAGTCCTAAATTTTTGCCAGATCCAAATGTCTAGCTTAATCATGAACTAACTTGTGACCTTTGGAAATTCACATTGACATCTAACACTCTGTACAAGGAAGGCGACTTTCCTTTTGTCAGTGTGGTCCAAAATTACTTATCTTTGTCATAAAATCAGTATACAGTTTCTTATTAAACGTCTTGTCTTCAGGAGGAGAGAATCGGTGAGAAAAAGGATGCTCACTGCAGTTGCTTTGCTAGCAGGAAAAGACAGATGAGTATTGGCTAAATACTGTGCACAGAATCAGCTGTGCTATGCAAGTAAAAATGATATTTATTTGGATAAGGACTCCAAATTGAATATCAGTCTTCTACTGCCACACAGTGTGGCTCTGCAGCCCATGAAAGTGTTCTCCACAGAGGCTTTCTCTCTGTCCCTGAGGCACTGCTTTTGCTATCAGCAGACCTGCTGAGGAGAACAAAGACAAACGAGCCCACAAGTTGTTCTTAATGTTGTTTCTATAACAAGGGTAAGTTCTGATTGAGGTAAACAGATTTACCTTTTGGATCATTAAGAATGCTTGTGTATAGGGAGGAGGACAGTGTGTCCTTTACAATAGCTGTGATGGCTGCTATTTAAAAGATGTCTCTTAGTGAGCCATCACAGGGGAAGGAAAATACTTCCGTGAATGTGTTAGACTTAGGAATACGAATGTGTTATCTAAGATCTTTTAGCATCTCTTTTTTGAATATCTCTGCCTTATTTTTGTCATATTCTTCTTATCTCTTCAGGATTATGCTAGGACTGGCACATTACACTAATCAGATGGGGCTAGATGTGACCCCTCATTAAGGACTCCTTTCTGCATAGCTACACAATGCTATAGCTTTTGTTCAGACACCTTTTTTGGAAATGAAATTTGCCTATATGCAGAAGGTATATAGGTACAAGCCTATGCATCCTACAGGCTTAAGAAAGTGGCTTCAAAGACTGTATCCTGCTAGCTCTGCACGTGAATAGTTTATACTGTGTTTGTGGTAGCTTCAAAGCTCTGAAAGTACATACAAATGTGATACTCCACCATTAGCAGTGTAACAAGTCTTTTCTGTTCTTCAGAGTAGAAACAACCTCTAATTAGAACTCTGAGAGCAAGAGTATTGTAAATAAATGCTTATTTTTACTTAACTGCTTTAAAATTATTTTTTGTTAATGTTAATGGCTTCCAGAATCCTTCAGTTATGTTCAGCCTTCTTATCAAACATTCACCTTAAGCCTTCCTAATTCATCTGTACTAGTTCACCACTAATTTATTGAATGGGAACAAGGATAGGATTTAATGAAGAGATAATTTGTTACTCCTTCCCACTCTAATAAAACACTTTCACTGGTTCACATAGTTAATTGAACAATTTTTCTTTTGAAGGTCAAATGAGCCGGTTCAATCAAATGCTGAATCAAATTCCAAATGATTATTATTCAAACCGCAACCAGCCAGGGCCACCAGGACCACCTGGTCCTCCAGGAGCTGCTGGGACAAGAGGAGAGCCTGGACCTGGAGGAAGACCAGGATTCCCAGGACCTCCTGGGGTCCAAGGACCACCCGGTGAAAGAGGTGATTAAATTCCAAAGCAGCTGTATGTTTCACAGTAGACATAGTGCAGAGGTTGTCAGAGGAGCAGTCTGATCCCTTTACCATGTCAAACTAAGAAGGCCACACCTAGCAGTAGCCCGTTAGGTTACTTGGATTGCCTCAGGGACACTGGTGTTCTGGGGGACAAGGTTAATTACATCAGTGCTTTCCTCTGTCTCTCCCTTGCTCATGTTTCATGGAACACAAGTTGGTATAACATTTTGGCTGCTGTCTCAGACTTCCACAGGATATCCCAGGAAAGTAAATGTTCTCAGAACTCTTCTGGCATTAAACAGCTACATCTTGAAAGGCTGTTTGGAGTAATACAACTCTTTGCAGAACAGAACTCTGATTAAGAGAGAAAATGGGTCATTATCAAGAATAAAAAATAGGAGTTGAAAGAATTAGGTCTACATCCTTGGCTCTCCTCAGAGAGGGAAGCAACTCTGAGCTGAGTTTGAGCATATGAGTAAACCTATTTTGTGGCTACCTTGGATCGCTGCAATGATATGGAGTGTCTGTAGTGTACTATGTTGTGCCCTTTGCTTATTCCAGCTACTGTACTGTAGCATAGACTTAGTGTTGTGTTTTCTGGCATGTATTAGGATAATCTCTAAAAAAGACTAGAAAAAAATCAAGAAAGAATGAATTTCTGAATTCTACTCTTTCTTAAAATTATTTCATCATAACCGTTTCTAAGAAAGTGTAAAGTGTCCTTTATGGCAGAAGTATACAAACTTGAAAATACTTTCCTGTTTGTAATTTAAAATATTAAGATTCTGTGCTGTTTTAAGTAGCTCAAAGACTTTTCTATGTTTGAGAAAGTTTATTCACAGTAAATTACCTCTGCATCCTACTTAATTTTTAGGTTAGTATATTTATATCCAAATTATTTTCCCAAATGGACATCTGTACAAAATAAGGTTTGACCAGCCTTGTTACATTAAATGATGGGAACTAAATATTAGTTTCAATGAGAGAGCATGAAGAATTATTTGTTGATGTGGTTTCCTTCCTTTGGTTTTTATAGTGTTTTTTTCTTGTTTGTGTGTGCTTGTTTGTTTTGTTTTTTTTTTTTTTTTTTCGGTAGGAATGCCTGGAGAGAAAGGCGAAAGAGGAACTGGATCTCAAGGACCTCGAGGTTTGCCAGGACCACCTGGTAAATATTTCTTGGTTTATCAGATTACAGAAAAGTAGGAGAAAAAGACATTTCTTCATAGGGAACCAGACTGCATATGATGGATGAACATGCTTTACTCTGTCCACTTCATGTTTTTGATATGTATTAGAGTTTACTAGAAACCCCTGCAAAAAAGGGCAATTTAGAAAGATTCTAGATGTGGCTAATAGGTGCTTATCTTTATCTTGTAATTTACTCTTCTGCCATGCGTGCTTGTGTGAAAATGTATTTCATGAAAATACATTGCCCAAATATTTGACAGATATTTTCATAAGTATTATCAGATGATACTTTCACAGTATCTAGTTTCATTTTTCACTTGTGATTACAGAACTACAAATTGTCCCCAGACTACAAAATACTCTCACGTGCAGAGTTACCAGATGATAGAGTCAGATGATTTGACCATTGGTTTTGCTCTTTGTATCGTGCAATTTTGTTCACTGATGCCTTGGCAGAAATCAGCTGCATCATTTTTTTCTACTTGTAGTTGACTAGGCTAAATATGGTTTTTCATTATAGGACCCATATGACTATGATGCTTGCAGCAATTTGTAGCCCCAGTTACTTGAAGCTTTACTTTTCTGCTAACCATAATAAGACTGGTTCCAAAAAAAACATTACCTCATCTGTCCTGGGGCTACAGGGTAGCAGAATTAATGTACTCCTATATTTTAATTGAAATCCAGTATGCTTGTCTAATCTAGTAGTTTCCCTTGAGATCTTTGTATCTTACATGGAGAGGAAATAAACCAGAGAATTCATTGATGTTTCTTACTTGGCTCAAACCTTACTAAATCAGTTTCTGTGAATAAATCCGTAAGTAAGCCACACACAGGGAAGCAACTAATGATGAGTCACATTTCTAGTTTTCTTTTATTTTTCTTACTGTTGACCTCCATATAGCAACAAAGTGCAAGTGTTTTCTCATCAAAGACATAGCCTAGACTGTGTAGTCTAGACAGCAGTAACGTTAGCTGTTTTATCAAGCTGTCTCTTAAAGAAAACAACCCCTCAACTTTTCAATTCTAAAATTAGGTCCACAAGGAGAATCTAGAACTGGTCCACCAGGCTCCACAGGATCACGAGGACCACCAGGGCCGCCAGGTCGTCCTGGAAATGCAGGTGTTCGAGGTCCCCCAGGGCCACCAGGATATTGTGATTCATCCCAGTGTGCTAGCATCCCTTACAATGGCCAAGGATTCCCAGGTAGGTTGTAACAACTTAACTTCCCTTAAATAGCCTTCACAGATGTGGCTGTTCATATGAAGCTACTTTACATGAGACAGTCCTGCTAGCCTGGACAGACTGAATCAGGAGGAAATGGTTGCAATGAGCAGGCCTGCCTCATTGTAATGAGCAGATATATGAGCAGTCATTTGGACTTTGATGCAGATTTACTTGATGTTATGTGTGGTTTGCTTTAAATAGGAAGTAGTAACTAAATATTTTAGTCTATTTTTTTTAAACATAGAAGGTTAGTAATTAATAACGTTGCTCATAGGATTTAAGTGACCATTTTCTTCTTCTTCTTTTTTCCCCTCCATCCCTACCCCTTCCAATCGTCTTCAGAACAAGGTTGAATTCTCCATGTTTCTCTTGAAAAATAAAAAGAATGCTGTGGTTGACAATTTCCGTGTGTCTCTATTTGAGCAATGTTAGGATTATTTATGCAAAATTGATACCTGAAATAAAAATTTTCCACAAAGGAAATCCATTTGGTGATATAGTGCAGACAACTGAAAACATCACTGTCCTACAATTTCTGCTGAGTTAAACACCATGGAGTCTTTGATTAGCCCTGGGTCATACCAGCCTTGCACTCTGTGATGTAGCTCAAAACAGTAGGCTGCTTCCAGAATCAAAATAAAGGGTCACAGTGGCCACCAATTTCTGACAGAAAAGATTCTAATACATTTTAACATGGGGATCCTGCAGGACCATGGTATTGTTAACAAATTAATATGTATGCATTGCAACATCTCAAAATTAGTGTATGTGATACTACTATTGGATATGGTTTGCTGTTAGTGTATTGTGCATGTACCCAAGAAAAGTAAAAGAAAAGATATATATATATATATATGTACACACTTGCAGACTCAGTGCTGCTGGTTAAAAAGTCAGGTGGTTGTGCAGATCTCACAAAAATCCTTACTGAAATGAAAAAGAAGGAAAATTGTACCTGTGATTCAGCAGTGTTCTCCTTTCTAGTAAGCAGCTATGTATACATATATAAATATATGCCTATGACTTAACTGTTATGTATTTAGTTGGATGAAAGTATGTTTTTGCACATCAGATGGACTTTTTAAAAGACTAACATCATCTTTGACCTGTTTCAGGTTTCGGCTAACACATTTTCTAAGTCGCCAGTGCTGCTTACAGTTTGAATACATGAAAATCCTGTTTCTGAGATGTTTGCGCACGTGCTTATTAGAAAATGAGTCCGTATGGATATTTCACCACGGATATGGTTTTTGAACCATGTTGGCCTCATAGAATGGGGAGATTCTTTTTACTAACACAACTCGTTAATGAGATAAAGGACACTGGTGTCAATTCCTTAAGCCTGTTGCATTTCAATAATAAAATAGTCTTTCTTTTTTAAAAAAAGACCCAGACCATCACAAGCCTCAGTGGTGAAGGAGGCTTATAAAACTACTAACCAGCAAAGGTAATGCCATTAGAAGAGACAGATTTAACCTGGTTAATGAGAAATGACTTATGTAAATAGTAAACTAATTGTGGCTTGTAAATGATTTGTATGGGACCGTATCCACTAAAATCTGTTAACAACTCTAAGTGATGCTTTTGCATAAAAGCCTGCTGCTGCTTGCTATATGCCAAAATAACATCTTTGACAACTTATGAAACCTACCTGTCTGTTGCTTGTTACCGACATGTCTGAACTGGGGCATGTGCCTTTTTTTATATGTAATCTTGTTGGATTCTGTAACTGCAGTTATAAATACCAAAGTTTTATAATTATTTTTCTTCTGTTTTGCTGTAGTTTTTGGTGTTCCTGAAGCACCAGCTGTAACTCGGTTTGTTACGAGGAACAGCAAGAGAAAATGACATGTACTGTATATTGCCGCTGGTGATAGTTATGTGTACACTTACTTTCCCATTCTCAGAGAAAATTAGCATATGCCAAACCCACCTGTTCATTTTACCTGCTCCGTGTCTTCTACTAATTACGCAGTCTGTTTTAAAATAAAGTCCAGTGCTTGGATTTACTGAAGTAGCTGTAAAATATTGTTTTTATTTTATTTGCTCTGTTTTTGTTTTTTGTTTTCCTTTACCATAATTGGTCCCTTGCATAATTTAAGACTCTTTGTGCAATGTTTTGTGTATTATAAATACAAAGCCTTTCAAAATGAACTTTAAACTTATTATTTACTGCCAAAAAGTATTCATGAACAAAACTGAAAAATACCCCCCAGTGAACTATTAATTTATATATTTATTATATGGAAATAAGATTGAACTAACATTATGTAGACTAACTTTCGTTGTATTTGTGGATTCAAAGACATGTGATAACTATTGTGTTCAATCGGACAACTATTTTCAACCAGAACCATACGTGCCTGAAAGTGGACCCTATCAACCTGAAGGTGAACCCTTTGTAGTACCTATGGAGTCAGAAAGGAGAGAGGACGAGTATGAGGACTATGGAGTTGAAATGCATTCACCAGAATACCCTGAGCACATGCGCTGGAAAAGATCGCTGTCAAGAAAAGCAAAAACAAAACCATAAAAGATCTCTGTCTTGTTTTGGTGGTTTTTTTTGATTGGTGGCTTTTGGTTTTGCTATACTTGCATTTGCTGATACACACAGGGAGAGTGCTTCACTTCTTTTGCAACACAGCTTTCTGGTCTTTTCGTATGAGATGCACCCCTGTTTTGTGTCTTGCTTATGCAGGGATAGCAACGTGTGTACTAGAGACTTCATATTGCTCTGGAAATGCTTGTAAAATACTTTTGCTTATAGTGGCTGCGTACAGGTTAATATGTGCATTCAGTTATCTCAGTGCTGCCTTTTCATTAAAATAATGTAAAAACAAATAAATAAAAAAAAAAGAAAACCACAAAACCAAAACAAAAATAACCACAGAGCTGCTGCAAATTTTCTAAAGACTGTCTGCTTTAGCTCTACATTTTTCTTCTTTTTCAAATGCATGTTTGCAGTTCAGTCAGATCACAGGTCTGCATTATCTAGTTAAAAAAGAAAGAAACAAAAAATTCTCTCTCCTTCCAATATCATTGTCATTTTCTTCTATTCTTAGTTACGCTTTGCAGAGCATATACTGCTCTTATACATCTCCTTTAAACATCACAAACATTAAGTAGCTGAAATCATTGTATCAACTGGATACAGTTTAATAATGCCTGAAATCTCCTTTTTTGTAGACACAGTAACATTTATGCCAAATTGCAGTCAATCCTGCAGAGATGGAATTGCATGTTTATGTTGTATATTTAGTATGGATTTTTTTTTTTTCCAGAATACAATGTTTCTTAGTTATCAAAAGCAGTTGGAAATTGTTTGCAAGACTATGGATATAGAATTGCTGCTTTTATATTTTAACTGCAAATTGTGAATTTCACTGCCTTATATTATTTATTTCTGAAATGAAAGAGGCATTTTTCAATAAAACTACTGAAAATTACTATGTGTCTACTTATTTTTTGAAAGGCACGGTGAGACTGGTGTGTGTATATTCTACTAGTGTTATTTACTCAATCCTTTGGAAATGCTAGATACCAAAAATCAACTAGAATGGGAATAGTCTTAAAATAGGCATTTAGGCTGTGGTATCTAGAGGTGGGTGGATGAAAGCAGGAGAGGCTTCCTCCATCTGAGTTATGAATGAGACTTTTAACAAATTCAGTCTGCAAGGCGTTTGGCGAAGAAAATGAAAGAGTGGTTCAGAGCTTCATTTGCTGTCTCTTTTGGGGTTTCTGACAGATGGCTGTTCCAGAGACAGAGGGATTCTTTCCACCCGAGGAACTACTTGAATGGCATTGAGTACCTAAAGCCACACAAACTTGTAATTCCTCATGTGCTGTCAGCGTTGTAGCCATGGCAGCACTGAGTTCAGTATTAACAAATAGCTTGCTTGAGGTAGCGGGTGGCTGATGTTGGCTGAGCTCTGTCCTGCTGGGATCATACATTAGCTGGCTACTATTGCTCAAGAGGTCATCTGTATCTGCACAAGCTTTGATCACAGTGATGGCTGTGATGTAGTTTTAGCTCAATGGGGTGACAAGGATGATTTAGAAAAAGAACAGCAAAACTGCAGTGGACCAGAAGAATCACTTGCTAACTGAGGAGGAGAGAGTGCACTGGTGGTGATCCTTCTCCGTGGTATCTTAACCAAGGTCAGTCTTAGGAGTAGAAATAGCTTTCACCATAGGACCTAGACCAAAGCCTTTTGACTTCATTTGGAAAGCTGGAATGCCACTTCTCAAGATCATGTGAGACATCTGCCACAGAAGTGAAGCTAGACGTGCAGGCTGGCTTCCTGATGACTGAATTTTACTCTGCACTGGAAGCTATATGAGAAGTTTTAATGTCCACAAATGGATGATCCGAAGGCTGCAGCACCTCTGCTATGAAGACAGACTGAGACAGTTGGCGCTGTTCAGCCTGGAGAAGAGAAGGCTCCGGGGTGATCTTATTGCAGCCTTCCAGTACTTAAAGGGGGCCTACAGGAAAGCTGGAGAGGGATTTTTTACAAGGGCGTGTAGTGATAGGACAAGGGGCAATGGCTTTAAACTGAAAGAGGGCAGATTTAGATTAGATCTAAGGAAGAAATTCTTCACTCTGTGGGTAGTGAGGCACTGGAACAGGTTGCCTAGAGAAGTTGTGGATGCCCCATCCCTGGATGTGTTCAAGGCCAGGTTGGATGAGGCTTTGAGCAACCTGGTGTAGTAGAGAGTGTCCCTGCTCATGGCAGGGAGGTTGGAGCTAGATGATCTTTGAGGTCCCTTCCAACCCTAATCATTCTATGATTCTATGAATTATACAACTCCGTAGACTGTTGACTGGTTATCAGTGAGATGAAATCCAAACAAATGGCATTTCAGTGATTCTGATTACAGCTACATGCCTTTTAGACTGTAAGAGAATAATTCTGTGCTGAACTGAGGAATATTTAAAGGAGAAAAAAGCTGTTGATTCTTTATGTTTTCTTCTTCTTGCGGAGAGTTAAGTATCAAAAACATGTCCAGTAGCTTGAAAGAAATAAAGAAAAGCACGTGTCTGGCAGAAAACAAGATACTGGTAGAAATTTAGAGAAGGAATTAAAATTTTTCTCTGAATTGTATTTAAAAATAGCAACATCTTGCATTGATCTCCCATCTGTCTTTTACTGCATTAAGTGTGTCCTTAGGACAAGATTAAACAGATGCCCACATCTTCATAAAAGAGATTCTCTTCTGTCCTCCAAACAGAGAATTTTACCTTATTTAAAGAATATATTTTGAATTACTTTTCTATTTCTTCACGAAATACACCCAATGCCTGCCAACCATGCCTTGTATTCTTTGTGCTCTTTATTAGTATCAATCTTGATAGAGATGCTGCTATGGGATCATCTGGAAGTCTGAAATCTTTAAACATGTAATCATGTAACAAACCTACGCACATTGGTAGTCAGTACATTTTAGCAACAAAATTCTGCTCACGGATCTGCAGGATGGATACCAGCTCTAAGATGTGTATTTCCTACAGGCACAGAATTACAAAGTATGAGTCATGACCATCTCTGAACTTAAGATAAGTGCTGATAAGCATTTGTGTTTCATAAAAAAATCCAAACCTAGTTAAGACTTCTTTCACCTGTGCCACAATGTTTGACAGAGTCATACTTCTTCTGACAGTGCATTTTGAAGTGAAAAGAACTTTCACTGGCTCATCCAAAATACGGAGAAAATACTTGTAATGTTTGGATAGCATATAAATGAGTGTTTTCTGATGGAGGTCAACAAGGAAGAACATGTCATCTCCAGGAATTCTCAGGAGAATGACTCTCTGGGGGCAGGGGGATACTGATGACACTTCTGGGAACGCTGTTGCAAAGCTGAGCCAAGTAAATCCTGGAGAAATATAGATATACAAACAAGTTTGGGTTCCTGAATCTCTCATGCACAACTGAGCAGCTTACATAATCCGGCAGTTTTAAAGAAGGAAATTGTTTAAAAACTCAATTTTAATTGTATACGCTTTTTATCTCATTTTGGCAAAAAGTGTGGATATGAATAAGCAGGTGGGAAAGGCTGTTGCTTGTTTGAAATTGTTGTTGCTTGGACGAGAAGCTCAATATGAGCCGGCAATGTGCTCTTGCGGCCCAGAAGGCCAACCGCGTCCTGGGCTGTATCAAGAGGAGTGTGGCCAGCAGGTCGAGGGAGGTGATTCTCCCCCTCTACTCTGCCCTTGTGAGACCTCACTTGGAGTACTGCGTCCAGTTCTGGAGCCCCCAACATAAGAAGGACATGGACCAGTTGGAGAGGGTCCAGAGGAGGGCCACGAAGATGATAAGAGGGCTGGAGCACCTTTCCTATGAGGACAGGCTGAAAGAGTTGGGGCTGTTCAGCCTGGAGAAGAGGAGGCTCCGGGGTGACCTTATAGCGGTCTTCCAGTACCTCAAGGGGGCCTACAGGAAAGATGGGGAGAGGCTGTTCAGGAGGGCCAGTTATGATAGGACAAGGGGTAATGGTTTTAAAATAGAGGGAGGTAGGTTCAGGTTGGATATTAGGAAAAAATTTTTTACTATGAGAGTGGTAGAACACTGGAACAGGTTGCCCAGAGAGGTGGTGGATGCTCCATCCCTGGAGACGTTCAAGGCCAGGTTGGACAAGGCCCTGAGCAACCTGATCTAGTTGGAGATATCCCTGTTCCTTGCAGGGGGGTTGGACTAGATGACCTTCGAAGGTCCCTTCCAGCCCTAACCATTCTATGATTCTATGATTCTATGAAATTAGGACTAAGCATTGCAGAGAGAATCTTAATGGAGACAGTCTTTCTGTGTCTTGCAAACATTTGTTCAGAGAGCAAGTTCTTTGCATTCCCGATAATATGGATAGGAAAACTGCAGAAATAGCCAGAGAGTGTTACTGTTTTATGGAGATTAAACTTGATGATAATGCATCACTGCTGAGATCTCTATACAATAATCGGAAAAAACGGGACAACATGTTAAGGGCCTTATTTCAAAGAGTCTGTCCCTTCATTTTTATTTCTGTTGTGGTTTTGCAATAGCCTTTTGAATGCCTTAGCACTGACTGCACAGAAATGCTTATAAAAGAAGAAGATAAAAGTACAGTGACTGATTTTGCCAGACATGAAGAGTTTCAACCACCAACATTAGCAGTTGAACTTTGTTCCCATGAAGGCCCCTTTTGATATTAGAAAAAGTATATTAGTGATAACTTGATCAATCTATGCGGATCTTAAAGGCAATAATTCATATTAGCAAGTTTCCAAAATAAATTCCACTGTGGAAAACACATTAGAGGAGTCACATAGACCTTGAGATCGTCTACTACCTTTATGAAGTGAAATAATGTGTTGATATTTTTTGACTGCAACTCAGACTACAGTTACAGACGGGAAAACATTTTGGGAAGATGTTGTACCGTGAAAACACTAATTATTTTCATGTTAGCTTTTTAATATAAGAATGAACACCTTTTATGTCATTTTACTTTAGATGCCCCATTGAACATGAAGGTACTCATTTTTCTGGTCTTCAAAATCAAAAAGATCAGACCAGCTTATAGCCATCAAGAAAACACAGCTTCTAATAAAGGCTTTTCTTCCTTCAATATTCTGCAGAAGACCTCAATTTTGCCTTGACCAGCTAGTTAAAAGATGCAGTCATCACTTTCATTCTATAGAAAAAGAAATGGAATGAAAGAAAATTCTCTTGAAGGCTTTTCCACATATGAACATTTCTTAGATGACATTCAGTTAAAAAGAATAGACTCAGGCAAGGATTTTAGTGCTGATGATATGCTATTGGCCTCTGAAAAGAAACGTTCTGTTGAATTTT